GCCGAGCCGAGCCGGCCGCGGGGCTGAGGGCAGGCGGCGGGAAGGAGCGGCGGGAAAGCGGCGGGGGCGGCAGCGCCGCCTGGCGGCCTGGAGGTGCCACCGAGGCCCGGCGCCCTGAGGCGCGGAGGGCGGCGGTGGCGGTGTCCGGCCCTACCGCCGGGGCAGACCCGGGGGTGGCGGGACGCCCTCCGCGGGCCTCGGGGGACGGCTCCCCTCAGCAGAGGGAGGCGGACCGGCCGAGCCGTGGGCAGAGGCCCGGGGCGGCGGGAGCAGTCCCCGCTGTAGCTGTACCCACCCGCGGTGCCTCCCCTCCGGTTCCCTGCGTGGAGAAAAGGTGGGCACGTGAATTCTGTGGAACATGAATCATAGAATCGTCTAGGTTGGAAGGGACCTTAAAGATCATCTAGTCCAACCGTCAACTTAACTCTGATACAAAAAAACATCACTAAACCGTATGTCTAAGCACCATGTCTTCCCATCTTCTAAATACCTCCATGGATGATGACCCAACCACTTCCCTCGGCAGCCTATTCCAAGGCTTAATAACCTTTTCAGTTTCAAAATTTTTCCTAATATCCCATCTGAACCTCCCCTGGTGCAGCTTGAGGCCATTTCCTCTTGTCCTGTTGCCTGTTCCTTGGGAGAAGAGACCGACCCCACCTTTTGACACCCTCCTTTCAGGTAGTTGTAGAGAGCAATAAGGTCTCCCCTCAGCCTCCTCTTCTCCAGCTGAATAACCCCAGTTCCCTCAGCCTCTCCTCACAAGACTTACTCTCCAGACCCCTCACCAGCTTTGTCGCCCTTCTCTGGACCCGCTCCAGCACCTCAATGTCTTTTTTATGGTAGGGGGCCCAAAACTGGACACAGTACTCAAGGTGAGGCCTCACCAGTGCCGAGTACAGGGGGACAATCACCTCTCGGGCCCTACTCACCACACTGTTCCTGATACAGGCCAGGATGCTGTTGGCTTTCTTGGCCACCTGGGCACACTGCTGGCTCATGTTCAGCCGACAGTCGACCAACACCCCAGGTCCTTTTCTTCCAAGCAGGTCTCCAGCCATTCTTCCCCAAAATCTTGGTGAGAAGTGGGGTGGATGGTCCCTGTCAGTCGGTGGGTGCCTGTCCGCTGTCCCAGCAGCAGCCCAGCGGCAGAGGGGTCCAGGCAGGAGGATGGGGCTGGCTGGCGTTCAGGCTCCTGTGGTGCCCTGGGTGTCAGGGGGTGACACAGCAGCGGGGCGCTGGTTTGGGAAGGCAGAAATGCCTTTGGAGCCAGTCTTTTTTCAGAGGTGCCCAGTGACAGGACAAGCAGAAATGGGCACAAACTTGACCATAACAAGGTCCACCCAAACATGAGGAGGAACTCCTTCACGTTGAGGGTGGCAGAGCACTGGAACTGGCTGCCCAGGGAGGTGGTGGAGTCTCCATGTCTGGAGACATTCCAAACCTGCCTGGACACGTTCCTGTGCAACCTGCTGTAGGTGGACCTGTTTTAGCAGGGGGGTTGGACCAGATGATCTCCAGAGGTGCCTTTAACCCGTATCATTGTGTGAAATCCAGCCTGTGGAGTTTCTCATCTGGAGAGTGCATGTTTTACATCCTTCGCACGAGATGGAAAAGCCGCCTTTTTGAAAAAGTAGCAGAAATGCCCAGTACATATCAATCAAATTCGGTCCAAACATAGTGTTATAAATCTGATCATTTTTTTTTTCCTTAGTTGTTTTTATAACAATCTTGGTGCTGCATGGAAAGTAAACTTTCTTTTATCAGTATCTCTGCACATCAGCGATGTCCCCCCCTCACCCCAGAATAAACTATATAAATACTAGCACAAGCCAAACACCTGCAAATAAGAAATGGCATAAGCGTGCTCTTCCAGGGCAGTAATGATGAGAGAAAGGCAAACAAAAAGGGAAGAGTTATGGAGCATGAAATCTGCATGCATGTGTAACGATGTGTTATATATGATTTCACCTCGAGAGAGAAGATGAACATAGGTTTTCAACACTGTGCAGATCACATTTAATCATTTACCAAATCTTCATTAAGTTACTATGTTGTATTTATTTTCAGGCACCTACCATACTACATCAAATAAGATTTTCAGCTTTCTTTTGAAAAAAATATATCTGTAACTTTTTTTTCCTCAAGAAACAGGTTAGTGAAACACCAAGCAGTCTCTGAAGAGTCTCCTACCATGGGACATGGATAAAAGACTTCAGAGTTGGTACCAGTCTGCCACAGTCCTCCCCTAATCAGCTAAGGTGCATGGTAACATTGCTGAAAATCCAAAAAAAAGCAACCCTAAGAGGCTGTCTACTTTTCTCTTTTGAAACGCATATTCTCTTTTAAATTCCCCAATTGGAGTTCTGCCATGTGGTCTGGGGAGCTATGCAATAGTGCAGTGCAGAAGACAAACGTCCCCCCAAACTGGGCAACCTCTTTGTAGCACTGGGTGAAATAGGTGAGCAAAGGTGGCTTCCTCACGCACACAGAGCATCTCCAAAAATCCCCTTACCCGTCATGTAACAGCAACAACAGTCCCACAGCTGCTGAGCTGTGGGTCGCTTTGGGCTTGGAGGCTTTATAGTGCCCCTCCATACCTTAAAGGTATCTTAAAAAGAACCTTTTTTCTGCACTTATTGAAGATAAGGTGCAGCAGACACAAAAGACACTTGGTCAGACAGATGGAGGAGGTGGAGAGAAACAGAGGTAGAAACGGAGAGTAAACACATCATTCCCAGCCACCTACCAAAGTTCTGCTCCACTTCCTTTAAAACCTTCCTGATGTACCTGGCTGTGTCTGAGAAATGGGGTACCCATGGGGGGCCAGGCCTTTGTCCCAGCTCTGTGTCACAGCATTTCAAGTGCACAGAGGAGACCCCTCCCTGCAGAGCTCCTGCAGGAAAACCTCTCGTGAAATGTATGATCCAGCCTTGTCCACACATTGAAAAAACAGTAGGGAGGCTCAGTGAGAGACGTAAATTGGATGTGAGGGGTTTTTTTAATTCCTTGTTATTAAAACTTGGGTTTTTTTAAACCCTCATCTCACAGACTTGGGGTCTGAATCCCAATTTTGTCACTTTTATCAATGAAGGTTTTTCTGAGACTAAGTGTACAGCACTCTCCATTCACTGATGGTGAATTGATAGCAAAAAGCCTTCTACCCCACAAATCTGTGCGTGAGCTTGTTGAAATGAATTACTCCATTCAGTTGTATAATAGGCAATTTATGTAAAGAGTTCCTTGCCTAATTCACATTTTTAAAAGTTGTTGACAGAATTTCAAGGCCAGGATTGCTCATTAAGAGATTTGCTGTCTAAGCAGGTAACTCAAGGACGTTGGGCTGCTCTCAGCCATTTCACCACAAGCAGTGACATGTCAATAGCTGAGGGACTACCTTAAACAAAGGGACTACATAAGGTTACAGCGTAAAGACAGAGAGAGAAGACAACCCCCATCAAGCAATTGATGACTTATTATCACCCTCGGTATAAGACAGATTATGATTTATTCCTCTCTACCTTGCAAAGCAGGAACATTTTTCAATTGAGAGAGTTGAAGCCTGGTGGCTTCCAGATTTGGCCGTGTTCATATTACCACAGAAAAAACTAAAGTTGGATGGAGTTTTCTATGCTATGTGACTGTGTCCCTTGGATTTTAAATGACCAATTTTGGGTGTTTCATTAAATACTAAAAAAAGCTGCTTTGGAAACATTTCCTTAGGGAGTGTCCAGCTCTTTAGACTTACTTGCCCAGAAATAATTTTCACAGGGGAAGCCAAGATTATTCCTGAAAAGGTGCAATTCTGCTTAGCTAGAAACTCTGCCAAGAATGGTGTCCCTCTGTGTGCCCAACAGACCTGCCCATTTTTTTCACTAACGAAGAATTCCTTTAGAGCAAATATTCCCGAAAGTTGAGCTAATTTTGACTCTCTTAGAGTAATTTAACTGGGCCAGCTCACACAGACCTAAGCCAGCTCTCGGGTATAAGAGAAGGGGAACAACCTGGGCTGCTGTACGTGCTGTTACACTGGTGTTTGGCTTGACTGAGGTACCTCTTTTAAAAGAAGTTTTACCCTTGGCAGCAAGTTATCCCCATGCACAGTGTATAAATCGGGCTTGATTGGGAGTGGACTGTGAGTCTAACACTGATCAAGCAACCAGTGCTGGGCAAATGAAGGCAGCAACATCGCCCACTTGTTTTGAGGGGGAAGTAAGGTTTTCAGGGCAACTTTACACGGTGACTGGCTCCTTGCAGGACCACTTCTCTGACATGATTGTGGCTTGATGATGCAGCAGGTGATGGTACACATGTGCTGTAGGATTGCCTTCAGTTTGTTCCTGGAGACCAGCGTTTCCTCACAGGGGAAGTGGGAAGCAGTTTGGCAAACCCTGTTGTGGTACCAGGGGGGAGAGCTAGAAGATGCAGACCCCTGTGACTCGGCTTGCTCTGAGCTTGGTGGACTTGTCTAAGTCTGGTCTTTCACCCAGTCTTCCTAGGAAAGAATAGACATTGGCATAATTTTTATGGCATGGTTATTTCATCCTGGCATTCTAGCTTATGAAAATGGGCTGACCTCATACAATTCTTCTCTGGAAGAATGAAGTAGGTAAGGAAGAAATCCTTTATTATGAGGGTGGTGACACTGGAACAGGTTCCCAGAGAAGCTGTGGCTGCCCCATCCCTGGAGGTGTTCAAGGCCAGGATGGATGGGGTTTGAGCAACCTGGTCCAGTGGGAGGTGTCCCTGCCCACAGCAGGGGGTATGTGGGACTAGATGGTACTTACAGGTCCCTTCCAACCCAAACCATTCCATGATTCTAACAGCAGGTCTTTGTTTGGCTGGTGTGGATCTCAGCAGACAGTGGCACTAAGATCTAGATTTTCTGGTCTGTACAGGCTCTGGCTGGGAGAGACTGTTTTCACAGCAGCCTGTACAGGGCTGCCTTCTGGATTTGTGACTTGGTAACAGGCTGGTGTTTTGGCTATTGCTGAGCAGCGTTTGGCAGCATCAAGGCTTCTGTTTCGTGTTTCTTTCCCCCCTGTGCCCCCTGCAAGAGAGAAGGCTGGGGGGGACAAAAAGGCTGGGAGGGGACACAGCCCGGAGAGCTGACCCTGGCCCACCACAGGGATAATCCACACCCTATGGCATCGTGTCCAGCACTAAAAGCTCAGGGAAAGAATAACACAGAGGGGACATTTGTGTTTATGGCATTTGTCTTCCCAAGTAACCGTCAGTGTGCTGAGGCCCTGCCTGCCGCTGGGAAGGAGGGAATAAATTTCGTATTTTGCTTTGCATGTGCAGCTTCACTTTACCTGTTATACAGTCTTTTATCTCGATCCGTGAGATTTCTTGCTCTTACCTTTCCCATCCTCTCCCCCATCCTGTTGAGTCGGGGTGAGCAAGCAGCATGGTGGGTTGACCCACCATGTTTTTCTAGATGGTCCGAGTCCTAGTGGGGATGCTGCTGGTTCTGTAATTGGGGAAAAACCTGTGGAAGCCAAGGCTAAAGCCCATAGTGTCCCCCTGGGGAGATGAAGAAGCAGACCAAGCATAAACCAGCAGTGAAGATGTGACACGAGGTAATTTTACATTGTGTAATAATGGACTGCAAAAGGCCTGGAGTGCTGCAGAGATGAGGTTTGCTTCAGAGGCAGCCCCTCCTCCCTGGGGCTGGTGGAGCAGGGTGAGCCTGGGGCCGGCAGCCATCTCTGGGCAGGAAGATGAGGTAGGGAGTTGTCAGTGTGAAGTGTCACCATATGCACTGCTCGCTTGTAAGGCATGATGCCTCTGCCAGGAATACAAGCTTCCCCCGAGGCAACAGAGAAGGATCTGTGGAGCAGAGAAACTGCTGCTGGAACACAGACAGCGCCTGGAGCCCAAACCGTCATCTCCTCCTTTCAGCAGGTGTCACTGTACTGTGTAAACCTCCCCTAACCAAAACCGTTTCTGAGGTTATGTCCCAAAAGAGCTGGAGATCATAGAATCACAGAATCATTTAGGTTGGAAAAGACCCTTGGGATCATCGAGTCCAACCATCAGCTCTACTCTACAAACTTCTCCCCTAAACCGTATCCCACCATATCTAAACGGCCCTTAAACACATCCAGGGACGGTGACTCAACCACCTCCCTGGGCAGCCTATTCCAATGCCCGACCACTCTTTCTGTGAAAAATTCCTTCCTAATGTTCAGTCTAAACCTACCCTGTTGGAGCTTGAAGCCATTCCCTCTTCTTCCACTAATTACCTGTAAGAAGAGACCAGCACCAACCTCTCTACAGTGTCCTTTCAAGCAGTTGTAGAGAGTGATGAGGTCTCCCCTCAGCCTCATCTTCCTCAAACTAAACAGTCCCAGCTCCTTCAATCTCTCTTCATAAGATTTATTCTCCAGGCCCTTCACCAGCTTCGTCGCCCTCCTCTGCACTCGCTCCAGCACCTTGAGATCTCTCTTGTATTGAGGTGCCCAGAACTGGACACAATACTTCAGGTGTGGCCTCACCAGTGCTGAGTACAGGGGCACAATCACCTCCCTACTTCTGCTGGTCACACTATTTTTGATACGAGCCAGAATGCCGTTGGCTTTCTTGGCCACCTGGGCACACTGAGGGCTCATATTCAGCCGCTTGGCAATTAGAACCCCCAGGTCTCTTTCCTCCAGGCAGCTCCAGCCACACTTCCCCCAGCCTGTAGCGCTGCAGGGGGTTGTTGTGGCCCAAGTGCAGGACCTGGCACTTGCCCTTGTTGAACCTCATACCATTAACATTGGCCCATTGATCCAATCTATTTAAGTCTCTCTATAGAACTTCCCTATCCTCATGTGAATCAACACTCCTGCTTAACTTGGTGTCATCTGCGAACATGCTGATGATACACCTAGATGATGATGTATCTTAAAAGCACTGTGAGTAGTAAGAGCTCTCACTCCACCCCAAATGAAAGGTGTGGGAGGACGGACCATCTGCCACAGCTTTTGTCAGAGCTGCATTCACCTTATGAGCAGGGCTCACACCAAGGATCCAACAGCGCTGTGCACAGACACACCCAGAGCCTGGACACACCTTGCAAAAGCACCAGGCTCTCAGCCGAGCTCTTTTCTGGGTACAGCTGTGCCTGTGCAGGGGCCCCCACACCCCACCACCCCAGTGGTGGCCACCACAGGCTGCTGGCATCACAGCCACATTGGGCAGGAGCAGGGTTCTTCATCCCCAGGCGGTGCGAGCAGAAGCCGCTCCTCTGTCAGGAAGGAAACATCTTACTCTGGCCGAGGGAAATCAAAGTGGACAACAATCATGTAATTAAACACAGCTGCAGAACTTCCAGGTGTCACAGCTCCCAGACTTTCATGTCAGACAGCAGGGAGGGGACCCGTGTGTAGGGCAGGCAAAGTAGATTCAGCTGAACCGCTTTGCTGTTAACATCCACTATGGTATTGAAAGCTGTTATGAATTCCAAATAGTTCTTGATGTGGTACTGATGGGCTCTTACTCTTCCAGCTTAGCCTGTCTTGCACAAATATACAGT